ATAGTAATTTGGCAAGTAGCATGAAGCACAGTGCTGGACTGTGGTTTTTTTCTACCTAAAGGAAGGGTATGTGTAAAAACGATGTGTTATTATAATGTCTTACACTTATTATAATGTTTTACACCTAGAAATCCAACTTACAGCTAAAGGTGTTTGACTTCAGCCCAACACTTGATCATCCTTTTAAAAAGGCATAATTTATACAGACAGTCTCAGGAAAATTGTTACCTATATACAAATTTACATATCTGCATACATAGACACATCAGTGTATATATCTGAGACCATTCAAATGCAAAAGAAGTTCTGCTTTTGCACATAATCTCCGGTCTCTAACACAAGCCTCTTCCAGTCAAAATGCCCTTGTGACTCTAAAGATTCAAATTTGTCTTCATACATATTGAAATGTATCTCACCCTTGCAGGTCCAGTTTGAGTCCAGATACAAAGTTGTGAAATGAAAACAACAGTTCTGCTAGAGTTGTACGTGGTAAAAGACCAGTAGCTAAATTCAGATCTGACTGTGGTTCAAATAGTGTGCTCCAAAGCCTGGGGAGTGTTGTAAGCTCAGTATACAAAAATTACATAGCATGAGAGTCTGCAAAATAATACGTGAGCTATTAGAACGGTTCCTTCTTTGCTTAATGTCTACAAACTTATGCTTGTGTGGCCTGGCCTGTAACTGCACTGTTTACTTCTTTGTGCCTGAGATATCTAATAAGAATCATTAGAAAAATATTTAAATCCAACCTGTGAGTCAACCTGTGTGACTGAAGACAGCAGCAGATTAATGCTTGCTTCAGGTGGGGACTTAAACTCAGAGCTGAGTGTTCTATTCTCCATTTACAAACTACAGATCCAATGATTAACACAAGTATGGACCTGCAGTAGCACTGCACATAAGAAATGCAACTTCCAGGTACTGTAAGAAAAAGTTCCCAGTGGTAACTGTTCAATTTTTAATTTTTTTCTAAGTAGAGAATTCCCATGAAGTTCTGCAGAAATTGCACTTTGTGTGACTTTAGAAACATTAAAGTACTGGGAAAGGTCTATGCACTTGTAACCAGAAAAGATACCATGTGCACATGCAACCCACAAAACAAAATATTAGATCAATGCATAAATGTGTATATGCAACACTGAGTAATTTCACAGTTAATGCAGCAGACTGTGCTCTTAGACTCATTTTAAATTTGCCTTGTTCAAAGTGAAATCATCAATCACAAGACCAGTAGCATACCTCATGGAATTACTAGATTTTTCCCATTAAAAATACAATTAAAACATGTCACTTCTCTGCACACATTGCATATGTATGCACAGGCGTGATCTATTGATACAAACACCACATTCTGACTTTGGTGAAATTGCAAAGGTTCATTAGAAAGGACTAGAGAGAGAGCGCTGGAAGATTTTAGATCTTAGAGGGTCATTTATTGTTGCAATAAATTTCATTTTTCCATCTGAAGTGTAGAGTCTAAGCACTGCAATAGAGCAATATTGAGGTATTTATTTTTTCTTTAGCTGAAATGCTAGCAAGGGAATGTTTTCCAGCTTGGCAGGCAGCCAGTCATCTCTCAGTAAATAATGTGAGCCCTGTCCTGCAGTGTATAGCTGTACATCTCTTCACAAAATGTTCAGTCCCCTGCTAGAGTCCGAGCAATCTTTGCTTACAAAGTGTATCTACAGAAACTTCTATAGCAAGCAACTTGGCAGAAACTTCTGAGCTACATGAAGTTCTTTCTTTCTCTGTCTCTTTTTCCCCACTGAAATGACTTCTTTTACTGCGTCTCCATAAGATGCTTTCCCTCAGCATAATGGAGATAGAGGAAAAAAAAACCCCAAACTTCTGAAGCTTAGCTAAGGTGCCCTAGACAGTCTTTCACTCAAATCCTGAAAAGTTCTGCTCTGTTAGCAGTGCTAGATGTACTACTGTATCAAAACAGATACACAATACTTGTAGTTGCTCAGATAGCATCACTGGCAGGTCTCCACTGTAACTTACACATGCTTGTAGAACGTGACTATTCTACGCATTTTAAATGAAGAAATTTGGTTTAGTTACCATTTGTAACTAATGTTGTAATTAGGCTTTAAAAGAGTAACTTCTGGATAAGTATAATCCAGATCACTCAAGGTATTTGCTAACAAAGGAAGGATCAGTGTCTTTAGGCAGAAGCTGTAGGAAGTAACAAAGCCAAAAAGTAAGAGTGGTCATTTTTAACTGAGATGAGGAATGGGTCCAGACTGTGTACCTTGAAAAGATATCACTACAGTACTTTCCTCAGCACGTGCTCACTCATCCAACCCCCAAAGCACAGTTCAGGCTTTAAAAGTCACAATAAAGCTCAACTGTCTAGTAGGATTGCATGTTTTCCCAGAACTGAACACTGAACAGCATAATTAATGTTTTCAGAGCCTTTAGAGATGGAAAAGCACTCTAGAAGCTACAGATTATTATTACTGAGCATTTCCCTATTAATACTGGAGTTATAATCCATTTCTCTTAATGTTTTATAAGTAAGAGAATGGAAAACATGAGATTGCAGATACCAGTTGCTGCAATTAACAAGGGATATGTGAAAAATCAAAATTTTGATAGCTGTCTTTTCAAGACTCATCTTGAAGTTAAATAGACAACTGTCTCACGTTCTGAAATCTAGACAGCTACATATTTCTAGTACTTTTGTTGTTATTGTTTCCTTTTTTTTTTCCTTTTTTTCCTTTCTTATAACAGATGGTGTTGTTGATTGCTAGCAGAAGATATGGTCCTATAGGGTGGGAACATCACATTTCACTTACTATCCACTGGCATTTGCAGTGGTTAGCCATGTCCACCAATGTTTTTGTTTTCTCAGTAGTATCAGTGCCTAAATGACAATCTGATTTCAGTTTTTGAGATGAATTTGTTTAGTAAATTTGCAATAGTATCTAAATCTAGGCTAGGTTTTGCAACATTTACAACAGCACGTTCCTTCTCCTACCAGTTCCTGAGTCATTACTAAGATACAACAGAAATATTGAATAAAACCTAGCTTTCAACAGTTTACAAAAAGTGGCAACATTGCCACAAATCTGTTTCGTCTTTATAACAAAGCAGCTTTTTCCTGACTATGGCTGCGTGGTATATTTCTAGTTTACTCAGTCTTGAGGGTTTTTTTTTCCAACTGTTAACATACATCACTTGGAAAAAATTGAAACCTCAGCTTTGCAGTCACATGCTGAGCACCACTCTTGTATTTTCAACTGTGTCACTTCAGAGAATGGCCTGCTGCAAGATCTCGAACTCCATCAGTGGCCCAAGTTTACGTTATTTGGGTCTTAGGGTTTGTTTTTGAGTTCCTGCAAGTATTTAATTACTGATGCTATTAAAGTAACTTGATATATCTTTATTTGGAAAAAAGGCAGATGGCAAGACCATTCAAAAGTGTTGGAATGATTAAGGCTAATGGATCTTCTAAGACATTAGGGATTTTAAAAATGTGATTATTGTACCTAATGGATATCAATATTTTTAACTCTACAGAAGCATCCTAATAGGTCATAGTTCTCCCCCTCTGCATAAACAATGTGGGGAGAAAGCTGAAGAGTAATTATATGTAAGCACACAGCCTCTTGTTGGAAGAGTCCTGAAAGCACTCTCTAAAGTCAGAATTTTTAGTAAAAGCATGTAGTGTGTGGATGGTGAGATGTTTTCTGAGCTTCATGTACTGATGAATATGAAAACCATGCCCAACAGTTTTCTGAAAAGGTTTTTTGTGGATATCAGACCTTAGTTTCTTTGAACTCCCATAATTGGGTACTGAGATCTCTTTTTCCATGAAGAATACACAGAACTCAAAGATACACAGTTCCTTACCGTGAAATCCTTTCAGCGTATAGAAGAGAAGGCTCAAGGGAAACCTGATAGTGGCCTTCCAATACCTAAAGGGAGCTTATGAACGGTAGATGGTGATAGGACAAGAGGAGAATGGCTTTAAATTGAAAGAGAGGAGATGTAGGTTGGATGTCAGGGGGCATTTTTACTGAGAAGATGGCGAGGTGCTGTAACAGGATGCCTAGAGAAGTTGTAGATGCCACATGCTTGGAGGTGTTCAAGGCCTGATTGGATGGGACTCTTTGCAACACAGTCTTTGTACCTGATTTAGTGATTGCCAACCCTGCCTATGGCAGGGAGTGTGGAAGCAGACAGTATAAGGTTCCTTCCAACCCAAGCTCTTCTGTGAAAACTGTCCATTCTTTTTGCATGTTCCTTGATCTCCTGAACTGTATTTCCAGCCTTACCTCTCCACATATTGTTAATATAACACAGACCAATTAGCAAAATTGGTGTGCTGTTTCCCTTAAACTTTCACACAGGATCTTTAGTGATTCTAAGATGTATATGATGATATTTGACAAACATACTGCCAAGTTTTTAAGCTCTGTGTTAAGCAATATAGACTGCTATATTTATACTGCTTAGAATGAAGCAGGAAAAAATATTATGATGAGTGGTTTGGATTCCTATATTTAAATATCTTATTTACTTACAGCAAATTAGCTAACAAATGCATTCACGAATTCTTACTACTATGAAAGTGTACTTCAAGTATCCCAGATTTCGCAGATGAGTGAATGATGCACAGGCAAATTCAACAAATTGCTTAAGGTTATACCAGCATAGCAGCAAGGGAAAATCAGAAGAAAATGCCTGAGTTGATGGCATGTTGCTGGTCTATTTGAATCTTGTCTTAATCACATCCATGATATACATGATACTGTATGCACACAGGAATTTTTCATGTTTATAATTGATCAAAATATGTAATAAAAACTGTGATGAACTGGGAGAAATAAGTTTTTGTTTGCATAAAAAATAAAAAATTGAGCAACTGCCTTTGCAACTGGCCACTAACATGACATTTTTCCTTTAAGATAAAAGAAGCATTATTTGGAGACATAAGGCGTAATTTCTATACTTACAGTGTTTTGTTTATTATATCAATGGACTGCACTTACCTCTACATGCTTTTGGGTTCTGTCAAGACTTGTACAACTGAACAAATGATTTGTATTTTAACTGTTTCAGGGGGCAGTTGCTTGTCTCCGGATCATTCCAGTCCTAGCCGTTCTTTCTCTGATGTCTATGTATGACAGCATGCAAAGTACTTGTGTGAAGAGCATCTCTTTTTACGTGCCTTTGGTACCTAGAACAATTGGTTTAAGATGTTAAATTGTTATGCAGTAATTAAATAACAGAAAAATTCTTAGAATAGTAGGACAAAATCTCATAGTAATGCTAAAAAACAGTATCTTAATGATGATGAGGCTTAGTAATAATACATATGGGGATAACTTAGCATTGAGAATAGTCTTAAGATTAATGGAAGATTCACTAGCTAATTCATCACCCTGATAATTCTAACTATATATAAACTGTTCTTTAAAAATATCTTGTAATGACGAATTCTCCCTTCAGACTTGCAGGCATCCCACATGCACACAAGGGTAAAATTTCATCCATCTGGAGGTTCATGAGAAAAAATCCAAAACATTTAAAGTAATTTTCAGAATTTCAAATAATTTCTGACATTTTTGAGACTTCTTTTTGTCATAAGAAATCTCAACTGTATTGAGATAATCTAATGCAAAAAGAAAGCCTTCTGTGTGGGTAAGAAACATCCTATTTTTGAAAACTGTCTATATGTAATAACGTGCCACTTACTGTGAGCCATTTTATAACAGCATGGAGTAGAATAAGAAATCATGTATCTTTTATAATAAAAGGAAAGGATTTATGATTAAGGCTATCCAGATCTGGATAACACACACGTTAATGAGAATTGATTACCTTAAGATTTGCATAATAGTGTCTCAAAATAGCAAAGAAAATGCAAGAAAGTAACATAAGAATACACAGAGCTACAGAACACATTTCATCCATGCTCTGGTTTCAAACTCCTAACTCTGCTTGGAAACTGCTCTAGTGGGAAACATCAATGAGACAGGTTGAAAAAAAAAGTCTAAATTTCATTTAGAACTTGATTTAACACATGCATTACATTTTTTTCATCCCACAGCAGGCGTCTTAAGACTGTTTTCTTAGTTTTAAGTTGGTGAAAGTTAAAAAGAATTTGCATTATTTTCTTGACACGTCGTCATAAAAATATTAGCCTGGGATCTGTATGGAATAAAATTAGCTTCTTACTCCTGAATTTTCAGTGGGAAATCTGCTGCAAATGTACAGAATGTGTTAGAAAGCACGATCAGAGAGCTTTATAGCAAGGAAATGATTAAATCTCTTCCTACGCATTTGTTTTCCTCCAAACTGTCAGTGTGTATCAAATCCATAAGGAGGTATGCAAAAGTGAGAAGTGAAACAGGAACTATGGGTCTGCTTTGGGTGGAGATTACGCGTCTGCTGCAAACATCCGAGCTACCATCGTGCGGAGAGATCTGCGTGAGCATGGATTGTCCACGTTTATGGAAAAACCTTCAACTTAGGGGCGTGAAAGGCTAAAACTCAAAACTATTTTAACAGCGAATGCGACTCTTGACCCTCCTGACGCAGCTTCACCACAGGAGACGCCTAAGAAGTCTCATCACGCACGGCTAAAGCGGAGCTTGCGCCGCGCCCTTCCAGCAGGACGGGACGCGCAGCTCCTGCCACCCCTGTGGAGAGCCGCGGTTATCGTGAAGCGGGACGTAAAGTTGTGTAGGCTCCGGGTTTTATTGCCCAGGAGCGCGGGACCCCACACAAAACTCCTTTTGGCCGCTCAGCCCGCTCCCCCTGAAACCTCCCCATCGCACCTCGCACCCGTTAAGCGGTGCCCCCGTAGAGATCTTCCCTCACCTCACAGCGAAAGCACGCAGGAGGGACCGCCCTGAAGCGAGCGGACGGCGGGAAGGGCGCCGAGGGGACGGGGGGATGGGAGCGCCGGGCGCGAGAAGCGCAAGGGAAGGGAGACGTGCAACAGCCGCGGCCCTCGAAGGCTCCGGGGGGGCAGAGAGCACCTTAGCGCGGCGTAAATCTCTCCCACGCTCCTCGCCTCCTCGGAGGGGTGCCTGGGCGGGAGCCCCCCGCAAGGGAGGCGGCAGCGCTAGGAGGAGGCGCTTCGCAACAGATGGTTAAAGCCGGCTCCTCGCTGCGGCCCGCATTGGCCGGCGGCGGCTCGAGCCGGGCGGGAGGAAGGGCGGGCGGGAGCCGGGCTCGCGCGAGGCGAGGCGAAGCGAAGCGAGCAGCGGCGGGGAGCGGCGTGCAGCGCCCCCAGCTCGCTACGCCGTCTCCTCGCGCGGCCGCTGAGCGGAGTGACTTCCCGCGGCCCGGGGCGGAGCGCGCGCCTCGCTCCTTGGCGGCTCCGGGCCACCTGTGAGTTTTCCGCCTGGCGGGTGCTGTAAGTAACGCCGCCTCCGTGCGCGGCCGGGCCGGGGCCGCCGGGAGGGCTGTGCCTGCGGGGCGCGGGGGTGGAGAGGCCCTGAGGGTTCGGCTCCGCGGGCTGCCGTGCGCGCTCGGGGCGGGAGATCCGGAGGTGCCGGCTCCTCTGGCTCGCCCTCCGGTTTAACCGGAACGGTATGGAAAAGGAAAGGGTGCGGGAATCGATCCTCTCCCAGACTCTAGCGACGTCGGGGAGATTTTTATCACCTGCGAGGAAAACAGAGAACACACGCCCGCTCCCCCCCTCCCCCCTCTCGTTCCGTCTCCCCTCCCTTTCCGTTCGGTTCCGGCGGTGCGGAGGCTCCGGGGCGAATAATTGCGGCTGTCAGGTGGCAGTGGAGCTGTGGGGGAGCGGCCCAAGGTCACGCCGTGAAGCGGTGGCCGAGCGGGAGCAGTACGCGCTGCGCCTCAACTTCTGCCTCCCGGCCCCGCGTTGCGGGAGGTTGTGGTGCTGCAGGTGGGGATCTCGGATCTCATCGCTCCTCTGTGTGTTCTCCTTTAGAGCATCGCGTCCGGATGTGAAGCTGCGCAGAGGTGCGGTGCCTGTGCCATCTCCCTCGCCTTCTCCACCGTGTAAGTGTGTAAATGAGTACGTGCGTGCTCTTGCTTTTCTGTTTCTTGCATTAAGTTCGATAGATGAAAGCAGAACTTTTTGGTGGAAGCATGATTGATTTCTTTTTTCCGAGTTTATGGTGACAGCAAGTAGTGTCTTTGCTATCAGTAGCCAGCTGTCTGTTTATGCTATCAGACAGGAGTTGCCAAAGCCCTTTGAGTGGTTCGGTCACCTGCATCCCAAAAGCAATCTGCAGTGCACAGGCATTTGTACTCAGTGAGCGCTGGGTGTCTTGTGGCCTGCTTTAAGAATTAGAGTGGATCTGAGGGTTCTCCAACGGATGCAGCTGGAGTAATTGTTCTGATGTTTGCTATAAGCAAAGCACTTCTCTCTTTCTTTCTCCTTATCTCCAAATATAGTTTTAATGAGTTTAGATAAGATACTGTGTTTTGCCCCTACTCATGTTTGGTGTTTCTCTAGGGTTTCTCATTATATAGAAATAAAACTGATGCTTGAAGAATGATTCTCCGATAAAATGTAGTAGTGCCTTCCTTGTGTAATTTGTCTCTGTGTTTCACACCAGGTGCAGCAGTAATGAAACTTAAAATGTTCAAATGTGCTATTCAAAAACTGAACCAATCTGCCTACTGTTTTTTCTCAATTTTACCTTAACTGTTCTACTTGTTTTGTTGTGGGTGAGGAGATGAAATATGAGATGTGTAGGAAAACACTCAAAATGTTAGTGTAAATGTGACAGGTTTGTTTGTAATCTGTATCAGACAATTCAGACAATACACTTCTGTGGTATAATAACAGACGTATTTTTTTAGAAGCTAGGAATAAAAATCACTGTAAACAGCTTTTTTTTCTTTTTTTTTTTTTTTTTTCCCCTCCAAATGAACTATTGCAAAAGTAATTCACAGGCTGGTAATCAGTACTTACTCTCTTCTTCATTGTGTTATTAAAAAGAAAATGGAAAAAGACGCATTTAGTATCTCAAAGATTTCTACAACTTGGAAAGAGTATGAACTTGTATTTCATTTTCCCTTCAAAATTGTTATTAAAATAACTAGTGTAAATTCCTGACTTCTTGCTTAGTAGATGGCCTGATTAGATAATTGAACCTCCTAAGAAACGCTTTTTTTTTTTTCTTTTCCTTTTGACATTCTTCCCTTAGACACCTATGAAACTCAGAATAGAGAAAAGTGAGCTCAAGAGCCACTTCCAACCCATCAGAGCATTTCGATTCAAGATGTTGGTGAGATGGTGCTTCTAGGAAGAATGCTCTGTGACCTTGCCAGTTCCCATCAAGTGTAGGACAGACCCGCCTTTCATTTTTTTTCCCTTGAATATTCGTGTAGAACAGCTTCTCATTTTTTTAATCAATACACTGAGCTAATTTTTCATGGTGGAGTGGGCATGTTGTAGAATGAGCTACAGGCTCACATTTCCTGCATAAAAATGGATGTTCCATTGGCTCATCATTTTTGAGAATATCTTAGGTTCACTCCAGTGCAAGCTGTGATCCAGTTTGTAATCTGAAAAGCTATCGTGAATGTTTTATATTGGGTTTTGTTTTTTTATTTGTGGAGGCGGTGTTGTTTTCTCCTCTCTGTTGATGGTCTTGAGTAGACTTGGATTTTATGTTCTACTCTCAGAAACTGTGTTTCTACTATTGTTTGTGACCGGTTACCTGCCTCTACGTTGTCCCTCTCAGCACTGCCCAAGTGTCATAAGTCAAAGTGAGAATGCAGCTTTGATGAGGGAGGATTTCAATTAGTGGTTGACTTCTGTGGAAGGGGAAAAGATTTGTAATATTTCCAGATATTAAAGATATTGAGAAATCATTCAAACAAGTAATTTCCAATCTGCTTGTAGTGTTCTAAAGTAAAGATAACATCTTTGTGGTGATGGAGGGCTCTGCTTGATTCAAAGAATATGACTACCAGGCTTAATAGATGAGGTCAGTGTACTTAGGAACTTAGAAGTTTTCTAGAAATACTTGAAAACGAAGACTGCAAATGACATCAGCTCCTTATCTATTTCAGCATCTTGATAGTGCTCAATCGAGAAACTGAACTGGGAGACCTTCTTGTAGGTTTTTGGTATTTCCAAGTCTTAATCAATTGACTTTTGCATAAATTTTCTTAAATGTGTTAAAAGAATCCAGAAGGAAAAGATGAAGTCTATCTTCAGTTGGAGTGCTAGAAATCTCATACTCTGAAGAA